TTGTATATATATATATATATATATATATATATATAAAGTATGCTCAATGTATTGGTATTATACTGGTTATTGGCTGTTTTTAGATCATTATATTGGATATTTAAATGTGCATACTCATTTCCCCTATTTTAACACTGACTTAGGATTTTTAAGATATTTTTTCGGTGATCCGATCAAAAGTGGTTAGTCGAGAAGCATTGTTTTTCAAGACTCCCTCCATCACACCTCGTAAAAAAACAAAAACAAACAAAAAAACAGGTGATTGAAAATGTGGGCAGTGATTTTGATTATGATCTGTGTGTTTTGGTACAACTCATAACAGATCCCATAGTGATTACACTACTGTTCAAAGGTTTAGTTTAGTTTAGTTTATTTTATTTATTTATTAAGGTTTGGGGCCAGTAAGATTTTTAAGCAGCACAACCATCAACACATGATAACGCAGCCTTGGTGAACATAAAAGTCCTCCTTTTTTTCAAAAACAAAAACCCTTTACAGTGTACAGTACATGTTAGATGAATGCAAATACAATGTGGTAATGTGTGTTTTTGACTACCTTGTGTGTGTCAGTCATTAAGTCTTTTAAAATATCAGATAATTAGTTCATGTCTTGTAAAAAATACGGTGCAACCCCCCAAATATGAATTAATATATTTATGAATATATATTTTTATTATTCACATATTAATACAAAAATATTAAATATTTTAATGTGAAATAATAATTATGTGCACATACAGTAAAAGTGCATGGAAAATATGTTATTACCTTTTACTTGATAGTATTTTTTTTATTTTTTTTTTTACATGGCATTTTTAGAGTATTTAAATTTAAACATTTGTTGGAAAAAGGATAAAAGCTTTTCAAAGAGTACATTTCTGAGAACTTGGCACAACCTTGGTTTTAAAATTGAATAATATATTTGTTTTATTTGTCATTGACAAATACATTCAAAATGATTTAAAATGTAGTTTTTGGTGTTTCATTTTTATTTATTTAGACAAATTAGTAGAAAATTGCCCATTTATTGGTTATCAGCCATATCATACAAATAATTATAGTATTTCTGTAAAAATCTGATGGAGTGTATATGTTGTTTCTCTCAGGCCTGTATCGATGGCAGTATGGAGATGGTGGAATTTCTTCTGTCTCAGGGTGCCAGTGTTAACCTGGTGGACAGTGAGGGTTGGACTCCTCTTCATGTGGCTGCATCATGTGGAAACCAGGAGATAACTGAGTACGTTATGAGAGAATTTATTGAATATCGAAATTAACGAGTCTGTCAAAATGTTCTAATATGTTTATAATTTAGCTGGCTTTGAGATTGCTGACTGTGTTAAATGTGATTGCAATATGTTCTGAGATTAATTCACAATATAGCACAGCCTTAAATCTGTTGTTACTATGGCTATGAAAAAGGGAAATGTAACTATTTAATTGCACAGCATTCTGTGTTTCATGAAACTTTGCGCCTAATATTAAAATTTGTTGTTGTAAATAAACTTTCACGTTCACATTTCACATTAAATCCCCAAAAAAATAATGTAACATTAGCAAATCCTTTTAATACAATTTATTCAGCCAGTTTTACAATATCTACATGACTTTATCTCTGAGACATGCACATACAGTATTAATGACAGGTTCAACCAGGTAGCCAGACAGAGACTGCAAGTGAGTGGGTGTCCTAAATATTTCCTTTGAGGAGGAGGTTGCCGGGTGAGTGCGGCCAGTAATAGAGCCTGTGTAGATCATCCTCAGTCATCTGCTCTCTCTGGAATGGTTTGTCCTGTGGGTCCGGGGAGAACTGCATGCAAATAGCATGAGGAAACACAACCATCCACAGGAAGTTGAGGGAAAAAAAAACAGATGCTGCATTAAATGCCTTAATAATGTTCATGCTTTAAACCAGTTCATGCTAATCACAAAAATTATCTCATTATTTTTCCCAGTCCTCTATATATTAAAGATACAAATTTTGATTGAAACATTTTACCAAGCAAATTCATTAAGTGACATCCTTCTAGAATATATAATTACTGACATGACAGAACAATACTGTACAGTGAAAATAACAGTATTCTTTGTTGTGCAATGATATGTTGAACAGATGTTTCGTGTCAGCGGTTACTACACCTCTGCACTGCTTTAAGCACTGCTTTTTTGTATTATACTACTATTTAAGGGTACTACAGAAATTAAGCACTTTAAAGGTTGAAATGACTCTGAAAGTTGGATTGCCAACAGAAAAATGACAAGTTGATAAGTTGCTTACATTAGCTGTTTCCATCACCCTATTTTAATGCGCATTTTGAAGTATCGCATGAGAAACGAGTGATGGAAATGCCAAATTTCGAATAAAAATCCCTTAATTCGCAAAAAAGTTTTTACGCTCGCTTGAGGTGGTTTTTGACTTGTGCGAAAAAGGGTTGATGCGAATAATGGGAGATGGAAATGCATTTTGCGAATAAATTTCTCCAAGTGTATCAAAAAACTCATGTGACTTTGCGCTATGGGACGGCAAAACCTGACTAACCAGCAGACCGATATCATTCCACAGCATCTGAAATGTTGTTATGGTCATTCGGAAATGCACGAGCAAAGTCAGTCATCAAAGTATTTCTGTATAATTGCCTCCCAGAAATGTCTTACACGACTGTGTTCCCAAACAGCAGCATCCACCTCCGAAAGCAATGACCGCATTCATTGTGTTTCGTCTGCTGACTCTGAGGAGCAAGTAATTAATTATGTATGAAAATTATTATATATTCTCCTACTTTTCTTAGTGATTTATAGTGCCAGTTTATCAGGAAGTGACGATTTTGTTCTCTTTGACTTGTTGGATGGAAACGATGCTTGTTCGGAAATGTTTTATGCGATATTCCAGTTTTGTGCACAAGTTAAATTCCCAACTTTGGATGGAAACCCGGCTATTGTGACAATTTTGAAATGTGTGTTTTTGTTTGTGGACAGAGTTGTGTGATTTGAGGGTGTAGCGAATCAGGTCAAAGGGGAATATGAATAATTAATCATAGCTAGTTATAATTAATTATGAATATTTAGAATCGCTGTAAGTATTTACTTGACCTCTCAGCGTCAACTGTCTGTCAATTCTAAGAACATTAATTTCCTGGTTAAGGGAAATAACTTTCTTACAGTACAATACCACTGAGAGCATGTAGCAAAAATCTGCATGATTAGGGACTGCGATTATGAGCAAACAATGAACAACCTCAGGTGTGATACAAGTAAGACTTTATTAACTACATAAACACTTAAACTAGTCTAACATACACATACACACACACACACGCATACAGTTGGTATAGGAAAAGGGTTAAAGCTTAGGCAGTAAAAAGAAGAGAAATAAAAACATGAAGCTATGATACCATTTGATATTCAGCAGATCTACAGCCTGAAGGAAACATCAGTTTCTTAGTTCAAACACACCTTTGTAAAAAGGTGCAAATGATACTTAATGTATCAATTAATAAGACTAAGTTTGATACTAGCATGTCTTTTCTGTCTGAAAGAGAGTCCTGATGCAATCTGAAGGCTCAAGTTGATCGCTGAAGTTGGTTGATGAAAAAGAACCAGTTTGAGTCAGAAGATCTTGGTGAATGGAAAGTCAAGGCCGAAGCCTGGCGCGAACTTAGGGTATCCTTAGGAGCGTTCTAGCTCACATCCTCATCTTCTCAGAATCTTAACAGAATTGCAGACTGGAGGCGGGTCACTGATGTGAGGCCTTTAAGGCCTGACAAGATTCACGCCTTTCAGGATGAGCTTGTCCAATGAGAAAGGCTGAAATTCAAAGCAGGAGTTTGGAAATACAGGTAAGATGACAGGAACGAGTGGTTCCATCATAAGCCTGCATAAAACAGTATACAATATAAAAGACAATATACAAGGACAGTAACAACATACACAATGACCTGAAGGATATGCGTGTTCATTCAAAGAAAGGTTTTCCTATGAATTCATTGGAGAACAGTCCATTTCTCTGGGCATTATGTGTCTTTCCTATGAGGAAAATGAGTGAGTTTCTCTGCCCAAATTCCTTTGGGCAATAAAACCAGTGATATCAGCATTGGTTGCCATGGAACCAGAGGCCTGTTCTGCCTTTTGGAGGTGTTAAGACGCATTTCGGGGGAAGGGTCCATAGACCCTCATATGGCTTGTTAACTGAGGGGTGTTACAGAGTATTTGTTAAATATAACTAAAAAAATATATATTGTGTGTCTGATTGGTCCAGACGCTACAAAGGGTTTAAAACATTTAAAAATCTTTCTGCCTCAGTAAGTGCTAGAACTACTTGCACTGCTGTGAAAGATATGAACCCATTTGGCATGTGTTATACTGTGCTTATTTACTGGTACTGTCACTTTTAGATTTCTGCTCAGGCATGGTGCATCTCTCTGCGCGGTGAACTGTGATGGTGATGTGCCAATGGACATTGCAGAGGATGAGGCCACAGAGACACTGCTGCAAGAACACTCATTGACAAAGGGTTAGTCAACAGAACATCTGAAATGTCACATCATAAATACACTTATATGGAACTCAATTAAATTTAGAGATATCAGAAAATAAAGCCTGCCATCACCCCAAAAAAATAAATAACCCAACCCAAGTTGGTTTGAGTACAGGTGCAGGACACAATGCAGTAAATGTAAAATAAAATGTCCACATACTGATGTTGTTTAACAACTTGCAAATTTTTGTCCTCTCAGAGTCAAAAATTCACCCCCGATGAAGACTTCAGCGTTTTTGGATCAATAACAGTAAAGGGGTCATATGATGCGATTTCAATTTTCCCTTTCTCTTTGAAGTGTTACAAGCTCTTGGTGCATAAAGAAGATCTGTAAAGTTGCAAAGACTAAAGTCTCAAATCCAAAGAGATATTCTTTATAAAAGTTAAGAGTCAACCACGCCTACCTAAAACGGCTCA